CATCGAGTATATATAAAAAGTTCGACTATATATTAAAAATGTTCAGCATTGATTTGAAAAATGTTCATGGTGTATTTAAAAATTGATCATCGTGCATGAAAAAATGTCCATTATGCACCAAACATTCTTCCTGTTTATCAGGTATGCACAAAGATCATGTGTATAACAAATATCCATCTTATAATATTAAATGTTCTACATGAATTATAAAAAATTAATGTGTCATTAAAAGAATGTTCATCTTCTATTTATAAAAAAAATCATGTATTTTAAAATTTCATTATTTATTTAAAAAACTCAGAGTGTATTAGTAAGATGTCCAACGTGTATTAACATGTCCATCATATATTTTGAAACATCATGTACTAAAAAATAATGTATTTGGCAAAACGTTTTATACTTATAAGAAAGAAGCAGCTAAAATGTTCAAGTACTTTTGTAATAAAAATCATACTATTTGAAATTCAGAAAAAAAATGGTCACGATGAAATAAAATGTCATGTACTTCTTTTGCCGGGTTAATTTTCATGTACTGGAAAAACTATAGTATAAAAAAAGGTTTGCATATCAAAATAATTGTTCATATAACTGTTCAAAAAACAACAGAAAAGGGGAAAAGCAAGAAAGCAATATAGATAGAAAAAATATAAAATGGGACAGAAGCAGAACAAATAAAAGGAAAAATAAATAAAAACAAAACAAACAGTAAAAGGAAAGAAAGAACGGAGGAAATCAAACTCAAAGAAAGCAACATGAAAAAAGTTAATGGATGTGCAGGAAGTACCAAAAAAAGGACTTTCTTGAATTTTGAGTGAGGATAATTGTCTTAAATTTCGGAGAATCGGCTATCAGCAACCGCAAGGACTATACCAGCCTCTGTTTTTTGAAACACGTCACCAGAGAACCTTGCAAGTGTTACTCGAACCGTGACACCAAATTTTGGCACGATCAAGAACTTAATTAAAATGACCTCGAATGAAGAAGCGGTCTACATCAAAAAGTTCTGTATTGTCGAAATGAACATCTTTGAAGTTTGGTCCATCGCTATCGGATCTCATCTCTAGAGCCGAAACTATACTCAAAGTACTCAGATTTTGTATTCAGAGTAGTATTCGGCCAATTAAGCCTCCAAGATGGCCTCATATGAAAAACATTTTTACACGAATTGTCTTCGTCTCATCAAAACGGTCTATTTTAATATAATAATCGTCCCAATCCGACTTCGTATGCAAAAATTAGAGTCATCGGAATGCAGTCCTATCACGAGGCAAAACATGGCGCGCCCCATCAAACACATGTCTGATGGGTAGCGCGAGTAACACTCTGTTTTGCGCGAGCGATTCGGCCCAGAAGATGGCCTCGAATCGAAAAACGTTCAACATGAAAGTTGTTCGTCCCGTCGAAGCGGCTAAATTTGTTTTTGGGTGCATTTCCATCCGAGATAATTTGTTGCCTGTGAGAGCCAAAAACCGAACCAATGTCTCAGACTTACCTAAATCCGAGTTCGGTTATTATTGGAAAGATTTGGGCGAGATTTGGAGTCCTTTTCTGGTACGGAAAGTCCAGTCATCTCATAAATAGATGAGAGGTGATGGCCGATTGAAAAACAACACACAATCGCAAAACCCATCTACTTTTTACCCTAGTTTTACATCTCTCCTTGTTTCTTTCTCTCTCGTTCTTCGTTCGTTCTTCGTGTTAAAGAGCAGCGATCCTCGAGGCTCTAGGGGCGGGCGAACCGACCTAGGGCATCGCATAGCCACCGCGCGTCCAGACGGGGTCCCTTCCGGACACGTGGGGTTTCGGGTCTTCAAAAGCGCCCGCCAGATTGCTTGCATACCGCGCTTCCGGTCGGGTCTCCTTCGACGTGAGCTGTGGTGTATCACGACCCTCGACGTTGGAGGTACACGGTGACGTGTTCGTGTGCGAACACACTTCTTGGCGACTTCGCTGGGGAAGAAATATCAAGAATCATCATCAACCATGTCTAATCTACCCAAGCCCTTAGAAGTTGACGCCGATAACATCATTAAGCCCAATCTTGATGAACTATCGGAGGAACATCGCCAAGCTTATGAACTTTCAAGAAGGACCGTCAAGGCAACATCACTCATGTCGGCGCGCCACCTCCGCTCTGCCGAACCTGCCGCTAATCACCGACAAGGAGCCCCCTGCCCTCCGCCGTCTCCTCCCGCCTCGACCAACCCCATCCAATCCCCTCCTCAGCTAGACAGAGGCAGCCGCCCACCGATTGAATAAAAAAATCAAGAAAAAAACCATGACACGGGTCGAAAAGAGACCCAATGAAAACCTGCGACAAATAATGAGCCGTTACGCGCGACTGAGGTCTGAGGACACGCGACGCGCAGAGATTCGTGATGGTTCGAACGGACAGAAAAATGACCTGAAGCGAATTTAAAAACAGATTTCTGAAAAATAGTAAATGTGAAGAAGAAATGAAGTACGCGCCGCATAGAAATCAGAGTCGATGGACGGAAGGTCCCAGTCAATGGTGATGTTTCCGGTCGGATCAAGCGGGTCGTAGTGAGCTGCAAGAGACACGGTGAAGTGAATTAGCAATCGCGAAATCAAATCGGCAAGAAATAGAGCACGCATCAGGAGAAATCCAAAGAAGTTCTGTAGCAGTGAAGCCGAAGCGGCAAGGAACAGAGCGCATGCATGCATCAGGAGAAAACCTGAAGTATAGGCGAAATCAAAGCGGCAAGGAACAGAGCGAATTCATCAGGAGAAAACAAATGAAGTAGTAGTACTTGGATCATAAACAATAATTCATAAATCCTAAAACCCTAAACCCCTAAACCGGCACTAAACCCCTTATCCGGCCGCGATGAACCGGGACTAGGGGGGGAGGAGGGGGGGCTTTAGTCCCCAACCTTTAGTCCCGGTTCCTGAACCGGCACTACTTACGAATCGGGACTGAAACCCGTTTCTGCACTAGTGAAGGTTAACCCATCTTAACTTTGTTTGTCGTGGTAAGAACCTTAGGATCCTCTGATCTCTATTTTTGGCTTTACTGTGGTGCACGCGTGCCAAGTACTAACCAATGGGTGCATGCATCTCAAAATGGTCACACTCGTCTTCCATATGTAAGGAATCCTTTTTTCTATAGTTGCTTGCAACTTGAAGATACTCACGTTTCACTAAGTTACAATTTTGAAGGCTTGTGCAGACCAAGGTTCGAGTAGGACTTCTTTGGCCAGCTGCAAGAAAAATCAACGATCTGAATTCCGAAAGTATAGTAGAGAGAAAAAAAAGAAGAGATTCGACGTTCGGAAGCACCTCCGGTCTACGGTCCACACCACACCACACACGGAGTGCACAAAATGATAAGATTGCAATGTAATAAGCACTCATTACCAAACTGTAGACTAGATGGATTTTGAGAATATGATTCGCGTGTATTGCAGCCCATAGGACGCATATATATAGAGAGGTACAAAAGCAATCCTATACTTGTACTCCAAGATCTAATCCTAGTTAAAAGGAAATGATAGATGTGGAGATAGAGATAGGAAGGTAAAGAGTACATCACGTATATGTGCTAATACATGCTAACTTATTCTTACACCCCCCGCAGTCGAAGCGTCGTCATAGAAGATGCCAAGACTCGATCAAAAAGCTTTGAATGAAGACAAAGGAAGCCCCTTAGTCATGATGTCTGCAAGTTGATGAGTCGTTGGGATGTGAACAACACGAAACTGTCCCAAAGCCACCTTCTCGCATACAAAATGAATGTCCAACTCAATATGCTTCATCCAACAATGATGAACGGGGTTAGCAGAGAGGTATACCACAGATATATTATCACAGAACACCACAGAAGCCTTGTCAATGACACAATGGAGCTCGACAAGAAGTTGACGAAGCCAGCAACATTCAGCCACGGTGTTAGCCACCGCACGGTATTCGGCCTCAGCACTCGAGCGAGAGACAGTAGGTTGGCGTTTGGAGGACCAAGACACCAAAGTGTCGCCGAGATAAATGCAATGTCCTGAAGTAGACCGGCGAGTGTCTGGACAGCCAGCCCAGTCAGCATCCGAATAAGCAGCAATCGCAATGGAGGAACTGCGGGCGATCCTAAGCTCGTGAGAAGTAGTGCTGCGAAGATAGCGAAGTAAGCGCTTGATCAGTCCCCAATGAGTGGCATGCGGAGCATGCATATGTAAGCAAATCTGTTGGACAACATACGCGATGTCTGGACGTGTCAAGGTGAGGTATTGAATAGCACCAGCAATACTTCTGTAGAAGGTGGCATCGGACACAAGTTCACTAGCGGAAGAGGAGACCTTGGGTTTCGTGTCAACAGGCGTGAAGACAGGCTTACAATTGGACATAGCAGCACGATCAAGAAGCTCCTCCACATATCTTTCCTGAGAAAGAAAGAAACCACAGGCCATGCGACCAACATGCTTGCCACATATGTCAGGACATTGAGAATGCGGGTCTGCTATTTGTACTAACTGCGAGTGTTCCCCCAGGTTTGCACTTCCGAATGCGAGTGCCTTGAAGAGGTAGCTGAACTCCTCATATGTCAGGACATTGAGAAAATTTCTCCATCTTTTTAAGCCTACTTAAGATTATCACTTTGCTTCTTCCATCCATGCTTGCCACATAAGAATAAAATGCGGTCCAATCCTTTTCATCCACATCTGAATCAATCTCAATAACTATCAATATCCTCCCCGTCCCTGACATGGCACTTCCTCTATCCGCTATTGTATAAAAATCGGTTTCATTCAAGCGCATAATTGAAGAGAAGTGTGAGCATACCCTCTCATCCTTGCATACATGCGCAACCAAAGTTTTCTTCCCCACCGCAAGCCCGCTAATGATTGGAAGAACGGCTGGCGTGGCAGCAGTAGGGCTGTCTTGCAAGAGGAAGCTCAAGATCATCTGCTTTTCAGAATGGCGGCCAAACACAAAGTTGTCAATGTAAAGATACACCATGAAACTCCATGAGATGTCTTGCCTTGTGTTTTCTAGCACTCCCATGAATTATATGAAGAACGTTTGAGATGAAATAATGTGTTGCTAACCTCCTCCTCCTCCTCCTCATCCGCCATAAGAGTCTCCTTGAGGGATCCGTAGTTGAACGCGCCCATCGCCCAGTATCCTCGATACATGGCGTCCGTGAGCATCTTGAGCTGTACCAGCATCCCAGAGTTGGTGATGTACCGCCCGTCCGCCTCCTCGACGACGGTGTGAACTCTAAGGAGCAGTCGCTGCAGCCTCTGCAGACGCTTCTCGTCAGAGCATGCATGGCATGAATACCTGTTGGTGGGGAAGGAGATGAATCGGGTCACGAGCTCATTTGTTACTACAGATATGGCAAATTCCATCTCAGAAATCCTCCAATTAAACTGTATGTGTGGCTATTGATTGAGTTGGAGAGAGGAGACGGGAGGAAACTGATCGCTGATGCAGCTATTGAGTAGCTCTTCACATGGTGGGCTATCAATTATTGGTTGCACTATAGAACAAACGTCCCTTTCGCCTACCTAACATGTTATGCGTTGAGTTATGTATGGAATTGATATATACGTTACGTTTCTTCCTCCAGGATGTAAATTATCTTCCTTACGCGATAGATAGTCACAAATTAAAGAAAAAGGTCCCACGGAAGCAATGCTCTAGTATTAACACTGCATCTCCAAAGCTTAAAGAACAGCGAACAGCCACAATGGTGCAATCAAGGAAATTCAGTGCAGCCTTTGCTGACTAATATAAGGCTGAACAACTGGACTATTATATTTATACAGACCAACCTTTTTGAAATGATGGTGAGCCATTGGTAACCAAGATATGGTCGACATTCTCCCTGGAACACTCTGCACGACTTTGGTGGTCATCGGTCATTTGCCATGTTGATGATGATTGACATTGTCCTTTTCACCAGCCACTGCTATCGAACAGTCGTCTGCAGCTAGGTGTCCGGTCTAGTTATTTCAACGAATGGTGATTGCCTTGTTGGAATATTCTACTGTAACAAAGTTTCTGGCATATGAAAGTTAAGGGACACAAATAAAATCTTCTTTTGGTTGGACCAAATAGCGATTGTTGGAATATGAGACCAGCACTTGAAGCATGCATACGGCAGGCAAACATACATTTGTCACGTCGAACGGTTTTTTCTTTTGAATCATCTCAGTCCAAGGCCATTTGCAAAATTCACTGCCAAAACAGTCTGACCTCACCATGTCCAGAAGACGGTGCCAGACACCAGACAGTCATGTCTGATACATGATGCAAGTTATTCTGCCCTCAAGATTGACTCAACTGAAAAAGTGATCAACATTAAACTTGTCGGCATCATCGAGGCGCACAAGTTTGCTTTTTTGCGTCATCTCCATCTAGGGTCATATGCAACCTCCAAAGCTACTCGATTGGTTTCGTACCGATCGATCGTCTTATATACTTCCTACTTCGGTGGCGCTGAGCTCACGCCACCCACGACCACGACAATGCAGATCTAGCTTGGTCAAGACCATCACCGGGCAGACTCTCACACTCGAGGTCTAGATGATACCTACCACAAGTGCACCAGTGATCAGCATCTCCTGCTTGGCATACATATATTCTTGTAGCACCTCGTGCGCTTTGCCTCATAAAGCCAATGTACAATTGCACTTTTTTTTAATATCTAGCATTCCGAGGACATTGTCACAATGTATTATTGTTGTTTATTCCGAGGAAGTATAAGGCTGAACAATTGGACTATTATACAGACCAACCTTTTTGAAATGATGGTGACAACCATTGCTGACCAAGATATGGTCGACATTCTCCTTGGAACACTCTGCATGACTTCGGTGGTCATCGGTCATTTTTCATGTTGATGCTGATTGACACTGTTCTTTTCACCAGCCACTGCTAGCGAATGGTGACGCCTCTGGAATAGTCGTCTGCAGCTAGGTGTCCGGTCTAACTTATTTCAACAAATGGTAATTGCCTTGTTGGAATATTCTACAAGAATTTCTGGTATATCTTCTTTAAGTTGGACCAAATAGCGATTGTTGGAATATCAGACCAGCACTTGCAGCATGCACACGGCAGGCAAACATACACGAGCATTTTTTTTCGAAAAGGGGGGACTCCCTGGCCTCTGCATCAGAACGATGCATACAACCACCTTAATAGATAAAGAAAGAGGTTCAACAAGGTCCAACAGTCTGAAATAAAAGTAATGGCAAGCTCACACAGAGCCACAATGCCAAAGAAAAAATCAAGAGGCCACAACCGGCTAGCATAACAAAGATAGATAAACTAATGGCCTATCCTATTATATGACCGCCATCCAAACCGGTTGAAGATATCCCATGCTACCATCTCCCACCGGATAGATCCAGTAACCAAACGCTCCCTGGCCTCCGTCGGAGTGAGTAATGACCACATACGGATCAGCGCAGTAGCCCGGAAGATAATCTGCAACAAATGGATAGTTGTTGTTCTGTTAAAAGCCAAATCATTTCTGCAGTTCCAAATTACCCATAACAAAGCACATACTCCTACACGAATGTGTCTAGCTGTTTCGGACTCTATCCCAGCAAGCCATGTTCCAAATAACGTACTAACAGAATTCGGAGGAGTAATGTTAAAGGCAATGTGCACCGTGTGCCACAACACTTTGGCCAACGGGCAATCAAAGAATAAGTGCTTGATAGTTTCATCCCGATCACATAAACTACACCTATTAGAACCTGTCCAGTTGTGCCTAACCAAGTTATCCTTTGTTAGAATGACTTGTTTATGTACAAACCACATAAACACTTTAATTTTCAAAGGAACTTTGACTTTTCAAACAAATTTGGAACTAGGAATGGCACTAGAGTTGATGACACCGAGATACATCGATTTAATTGTGAACTCTCCAGACCTAGTGAGCTTCCAGCGCAACTGATTGGACTGATGAGATAGCTGAACCTCCATCAGTCTACTCACTAAATGGAGCCACGCTTCCCACCGGTTGCCAAACAAGCGTCCTCCTAAACTGAATATTAAGGGGAATGGACTGCAAAATCATTGCAACAAAAGCATCACGAGTATGCCTATGTTTCTCTTATCCTTCTTCGAAGTCCCAGTTGGTGTTAGGAGAAGGCTGGACTTCTATCGATCCCGATTCTTTGGCAGAGCGATGAACTAAAGGGAAAATATAGACTCGCTAAATGGGATATCATCTATCGACCAAAGGACCAGGGGGGTCTTGGTATCGAGAATCTTGAAGTCAAGAACAGATGTCTTCTCAGTAAGTGGTTGTACAAGTTATCAGTTGAGACTGAGGCCACGTGGGCGCAGATTCTTCGTAGTAAGTATCTACAGTCCAAGACTTTGTCCCAGGTGACAGTGAGACCGACTGACTCGCCTTTTTGGAAGGGGCTTATGAGAGTCAAAGCAACCTTCTTTAGTAGGACAAAGTTTATAGTTGGTAACGGCAACACCACTCGCTTCTGGAAGGATACTTGGCTTGGTGAAACGCCGCTGGCGCTTCAGTATCCTTCATTGTATAGTAACATTTTTTTTCGAAAAGGGGGGGCTCCCCGGCCTCTGCATCAGAATGATGCATACGGCCATCTTATTAACCAAAAAACAAAAAGTGCCACAAGGTTCCAAAGTCTCCATCTGAAAAAAGAAAAAGATGGCTCACACAAAGCCTAAAAGGCTAGATACACAAACTAGCCAGGAAAAGACGCCACAACCGGCTGGCTAAAAACGATAGGTAAACTAATTGCCTATCCTATTACATGACCGCCATCCAAACCGGTTGAAGATATCCCGAGCTACCATCTCCCAACGGATGGATCCAGTAACCAAATGCTCCCTGGCCTCCATCGGAGTGAGTAGCGACCACGAACAGATGACTGCTGTAGCTCGGAAAATAACCTGCAAAAAATGAATCTGTGATGTTCTATTAAAAACCAAATCATTTCTGCAATTCCAGATAGTCCACAACATAGCGCAAACTCCAACCCAAATATGTCGTGCTAAGTCAGGCTCAACCCCATTCAGCCGTGTCCCAAATAATGCGTTGACAGAATTCGGTGGAGTAATATTGAAAGCAATATGGACCGTCCGCCAAAGAACTTTGGCCAACGGGCAATCAAAGAATAGATGCTTGATCGTCTCATCCCGATCACAGAAACTACACCTAGTAGGTCCTGTCCAATTACGCTTTAGCAAGTTGTCCTTTGTTAAAATAACTTGTTTATGGACAAACCACATAAACACTTTAATTTTTAAAGGGACTTTGACAGGCCAGACATACTTGGATGTTGGAATGGAGTTCGAATTAATAGTATCAATATACATTGATTTAACTGAAAATACTCCTGATCTAGTCAACTTCCAGCATAATTCATCGGGTTGGTGAGAAAGTTGAACCTCCATCAGTCTTCTAACTAGATGGAGCCATTCTTCCCAACGATTGCCCGCTAGCATCCGTCTAAACTGAATATTAAGGGGGGTAGAATGAAATACTGTTGCCACGAACACCTCACGACGTTGAGCAATCCGATATAAAGACGGATATACATTGTATAGTAACATGCACGAGCATGTAAGGGATCTTCAACGCGGGACCATATTGACACCACTTTTTGGCATGTATGATCAAGTCCTCAAAACTATCTCAAATGGAGAAGTGTTTAACATGGAAATTCCTCCCCTCGTCGCAGCGAACTATTTTGCCTTTTGAATCATCTCAATCCGAGGCCGTTTGCAGAATTTAAATATCATACAGTCTAGTGTGTATTGCTTGCTAAAAAGAAAGAGGGGATAGACAGCAGCCGACATGAACGTGAGGTGGCAGCATCCGCCCGTCCTGTGGTCGGAAGGCGGATGATTTTCAGGCCCCGAGCAGAGTCGACCTGACGCCTGAAACTGACGTAAAGCTACAACCAAGTATACAAGAGTTCAGAAAACATAGCAGAAGCAGAGGAAGCTACATGCAAGTATTTAGAGTTCAGAAAACAGAGCATAGCAGATGAAAGCTAGCTACAGGCAATAACGATGACAGGCAAACAGAGCAAAGCAGATGCTTGATTTCCTATCCTTGTCCACTGCCTTGTGCCTTCACTTCTCGCTGGTGGCCAGAGTCGAGTCAAGGTCCACAAAGGTGAAGTCGCTGGAGTATTGAGTTTGCAATCCAGGCCCTGGTCTCAAAAGACAGATATCATCATCATCATCATCAATGGACCTCCAATATTGAACTGCCTATGAATATGCTAGAATATTGTGAACTGGAAACTATCAGTATTCAAAGATATGATTTGTAGACAGATTGCAAAGCTAGAGTTTCTCATCAAGATGGCCAAGTGATGAGCTGGATCTTTCTTCAGGAGCCAAG